TTCTCGGGCGGGTAGCATTTATTAGATTGAAACCAATGCAGTCTTCGCGCGTTGTGTATTGTGTTGAGTCATAATAACTGTGCGGATCGCGCTTTTGCGCGATAAATCGATTGAGTTTCTGCCCTATCAGAAGCAAACACAGCTGCAAACGATGGGTTAGCGGGAATACGGGAGCCGGCATCGGCGCGCGTATTATCTGTTCCAGCGACGTGAGACGCTGAAAACCGAAGCCGATGTGATGCTTCCCACCAGCTAAGCAGGCGGATCATCACTTGAGCCCTGGGGTTGCGTGAGGCCAGCTTGTTTTGCCATGCGACAGCGGATGAATTGTCGATACGGAAGTGCACGTGCCGCGGTCTGTTGCCGATGGGCTGCTCGCGGGCCATCGTTCTCCCCATGCGTGCACCGCGAAGGCACACGAGAGGAGCTCGCGGAAGTTGATGTCAAAGCCGTTGGCCGCTCCCATTTTGAATTCCGCTATCAGCGATAGCTCGGATGGGGTAAATGCGTAGGTGAGCGCAGTCTTCGCCAATACGTCAAGCGCACACAGCCCGACATCCGACGCGTCCATTTCGACCACAACATCCGGGGGTGGGAGAGCGTTGACGTATTCCAGAGATACACCGTTTAGCTGAGGGCTGTGCAGAATAAGCCACCACCAGAGCAGGTCTTCTCGCATTGCGTCTGTCACGGAGACGCCCTGAAAACGATGGAGTTGTGCCTCACGGTGGCGGAGACGCTGAAGGAACGGTCGTGCGGCCCGAATGCAAGTCGCCACATGACGTAAGCTGCCCATTAATGCCCGATACGCTTTTCTAGTCAACGTCGGGGAGTGGTAAGCTGAAGCGACAATCCTGCTTGCCTTTTGGATCTTGGAAACCGGTAGTGCGACCACTCCATCGACTGAGTCGAACTCCAATCCGAGAACGCGCTGGCGTGTCTTCCAAGCAGTGAACTTCTCGATGTTGATGGCGTCAGCGCCCAGAATGGCCACCATTGCGTAACGGAGGGAGCGGTCTATGTCGGAACAGGTCGTTCCTATGTCTGCAGCTACGTTAATGTAGAATGCACGTCGGCGACGGGACCTGAATCGAGAAGTTCAATCGGCTACGCTCGGGAAGGCCATGGCCAGCTTCGGCATAAAGCTACCAGCGCCTGATTTCCCTACAACGCAAGAAGGCGCTGATGGACCTGTATACGTGCTTAATAAGCCCATGCATTTGGTCCGCGGTTTGACTTGAGACTACACGGCGACGTGGGGTTCTTTCGATCCGAAGTATGTTTCCTGTGCCATCTCTGTTAGCCGAGTGTAGCTTGTCTGGATTTGCTTGACTTGTACCCGAAGTCGAAGGCATGCTTGTAGATATATCAGGATTCATCGGAATTTGGACCTTGGTAGACTTCGTATTATCGCGTCGGTCGTTTCGTCGTATATTCTCGCTAGTGTACAGATCGTCTGACCTGGATGGGCTGCACCCCGGGGGGCGTGTATACGTGGATGGCTGTATAGACGACATGGATTGTATAGTCAAAGCAGGCCGTATACCCGTGGGTGACTGTATTGCCGACCCAGACTGTATAGTCAAGGGTGGCTGTATACCCGGAGGTGACTGTATAGTCGACCCGGGCTGTATAGTCAAGGGGGGCTGTATGGCCTTGGGTGACTGTATGGTCGACCCGGACTGTATAGTCAAGGGGGGCTGTATGGCCTTGGGTGACTGTATGGTCGACCCGGACTGTATAGCCAAAGGAGGCTGTATAGCCGAAGACGTCACTTGTCTCGATTCACCGCAGGTTAGGGTGAACCTGGAAGGCGATGAACCCGGTACATCAGCAGGTAAGGAGAGGATTTCATTGGCGAAACGGAGGCCTTCCGGAGAAATTTCTCGCTCGCGCGGCAAAATCCTCCCCCACCGCTTCGCTCCGACCCTAACCTCCGCCCCCAAACTCTCTTCGGTCGGAAAGGGCGTGTCCGAACACAGTTCGCTAAGGATGCTCGTAGCCAGAACTTCTGCAGAATCTTGTGTATTATCCTGCTTTATCTGGTTCTCGTACCGAAAGGATGTCGAGCTACAATCCCCCCGGCCCCATCAGCGACGATCGCCTTGGTTCGTGTGATGGGAGCCATACGTGCGATCAACCCAGTCTTGTAGACGCGCAGGTAGCGGATCCGGCCAATTGTGGACACGCTTCGAGTTGCCGCACCGGTCTCGCGAGCCTCCAGAGCATGGAAGCCCCGCCACATTCAGGAGGCAAGGCTCTTGGCCGCGACGGTTCAGTGGTATTAGCCGTCGAATAGCACCCGGAATTGCGGGGTTGCGCTCATGGTCGCGCTTCCCGTTGCCGCGCGTCTCTCGAGATACTTGTTTCTCCTGGGCGAGTACGCTTACAAGCGCCATAGCCCATCCCGTGGAGTGGTACTCGATCGACCGCAGCGATTCGCAGAAGCCCGACCACCACTGCGTGTTGTCGGCCTGCATGTACGCCAGGGCTGAGCCCAAGAACTTGTTTACATACATGAGAGTAAGTCGCACACGCACCGGCGTCGTGTCCGGGTCTGCGGACTTGTTCTT